GGAAATTCAAGCGGCCAGTGTAGACAGCTGGCAAGTTTTTCCGGAAAAACTGTCCAGTCTAGACACAGCATCTTAGTTTAAAAACTGCTCTATGGCCTTTTTAATGTTTAGTGCCAGCAATCTGGTTCCACCCTGGTTTACGTGGAGCCCATCCCTCCTGTATAGGCTCCCCCTCTCCCAAAAGTGTCCCCAGTTCCTAATAAATCTAAACCCCTCTTTCCTACACCATCGTCTCATCCACGCATTGAGACTCTGAAGCTCTGCCTGTCTACCTGGCCCTGCGCGTGGAACTGGAAGCATTTCCGAGAATGCCACCATAGAGGTCCTGGATTCGTCTCTTTCCTAGCAGCCTAAATTTGGCCTCCAGGACATCTCTCCTACCCTTTCCTATGTCATTGGTACCTACATGTACCAGAATCACCCACTACTAACACCTGCCTCTTCCTAACTGGCATTCCCTCCCCCTCAGAGGTATCCTCAGTGCGAGAGGATACCGCAACATCCTCTGGGAGGAGGGTCCCAACTACGGGATGGTTTCCCTCTGCTCCCATTGAATGCTCTGCTCCCTTGAGACTCTCATCCTCCTTAAGAGCACTGGGGCTCTCAGACTGGAGGTGGGACAGTACTACAGTGTCCCGGAAAGTCTCATCAACATAGCTCTCTACTTCCCTTAGCTCCTCCAGTTCAGCCACCCTGGCCTCCAAAGCCCGAACTCGGTCTCTGAGGGTCAGGAGCTCTTTGCAACAGGTGCACACATACGCCACCCGCCCACAGGGCAGGTAATCATACGTTACACTCGACGCAATAAACAGGATAGCCCCCACTCTGCTGCTGGGCTTCTGTCTCCATTTTTCTAATGAATAAGTTTAAGTATAAACTGGGATTCTTTTTAAACATACATGTTACACTCGACGCAATAAACAGGATAGCCCCCACTCTGCTGCTGGGCTTCTGTCTCCATTTTTCTAATGAATAAGTTTAAGTATAAACTGGGATTCTTTTTAAACCTCTGCAGTATAGATTGTTTTAAGAGTTATGTTTTAAAGAAGGTCAGAAGTCACTAGTGCCCTCTAAACTCCCCCTCTCCAAACTCTCCTGTTAGCTGGTTCCTGGCATACTTTAAAAAGTTGGACTTCAATCCGAGGGGTTGTTTAGAGGCCCACCGGCCTTGGGCCTGGCCTGAGGAGGAAGGCTGGTACCTTCCTGTTATCTCTGTCTCTCCGCCTAGAGGAATGATATCTGGGTTGCCTGGAGTAAAATCAGTTAGGGGCGTTGGGGCTTAAAGGGCTTCCTCTGGAGTGTGGGGGTGTGGAGTCCTAGAATCCTTCAGACTGCATAAACGGGGAGTCCGTATTCTCCACAAACAGTTCTGACCAGTCAAAAAGCAGGTCCTGAATTATGGTCTGGACCTCCAGGGGAATGCCTGAGACCTACAACCATGAGCTGCACCTCATATTAATAGTGGTTGCCATTGTGCGAGCCACCGAGTCCACAGAATCGGGGGCTGCCTTAAGGGGCGTCCTGGAGACAAGTTTGCCCTCCTCAACCAGGGCTGAAAAATTCTTGGTGGGAGTCGTCAGGAACTCGGCAAGGGCCCACCAGGAGTAAAGAGAAGCGGCTCAATACTGCCTGCTGATTGGCCACATACAATTGTAGGCCACCAGTGGAGTATACCTTACAGCTGAACAGGTGTAGCTTCTTGGTGTTCCATGATATGGGCACAGGCCCTGGCTAACCCTGCCTCTTGTTTTGGTTCACCAAGTCAGCCACAAGTGTTCCCCACTGCAAGTGTGTAAAAAGGTGCCTCGTGTGGCACAAAATATCTCCCCTCGAAGCTCTTGGCCACAGGCGGTATGGACACTGGGGTTGCCATAGCACCTATATAGTGTTCTGAATGGCCTTTATCAGCAGTAAAGCTATTCTCGAGGGACACACTGGGTTGTAGACCACACCCTCACCCTTGACAATTTCCTCCACATGCAGATGGAGGTTGTGGCACACACCTAAGGTGGTCCTGATGACCCTTCCTGTCCACAGAAGTGAGTGGAATAGTGGAGGTGACAGCTACTGCCTTATCTGGGACGAGGATGTGGAGGTTCTTGGGAGAGAGTCCTCTTGATCTTCTGACTCTCCGAAGGAGGATTTAGATGCTGCCAGAGGTCCCAAGATAGCTTTGGGTGCTGGTGTTGCATTTGGTGCCACAAAGTGGGGGGGTCGGTACTGTACTTGGTGCCAGGTGCATGAGAGGGCTCACCTGCTCCTTCAGTGACCAGTGCCGGTCTGCAGTGCCAGAAGGTGAGGCACAGGGCAGGGAGGTCACAGATGTCATATACAATATGAGGGGACTAATTTAGCTACAGCTACTCAAGAGAGATCTTGGGAGTCATTATGGATAGTTCTCTGAAAACATCCACTGAGTGTGCAGAGGCAGTCAAAAAAGCAAACAGAATGTTAGGAATCATTAAAAAAGGGATAGAGAATAAGAGAAAATATCTTAATGCCTCTATATATAACCATGGTACCTTGAATACTGTGTACAGATGTGGTCGGCTCATCTCAAAAAAGATATATGGGCATTGGAAAAAGTTCAGAAAAGGGCAAGAAAAATGATGAGGGCTTTGGAACAGGTCCCAGGTGAAGAGAGATTAAAAAGACTGGGACTTTTCAGCTTAGAAAAGAGAAGAATAAAGGGGGATATGATAGAGGTCTATAAAATCATGACTTGTGGAAAAAGTGAGTAAGGAAAAGTTATTTACTTATTCCCACAATATAAGAACTAGGGGTCACCCAATGAAATGAATAGGCAGCAGGTTTAAAGCAAACAAATGAAAGTTTTTCTTCACTCAGCGCACTGTCAACCTGTGGAACTCCTTGCCAGAGGGTGTGGTATAGACGAGGACTTTCACAGGGTTCAAAAAAGAGCTAGATAGATTCATGGAGGAAGAGGGATAACAAGGTGTCTTGCAGTCCAGGCATGCCAAGAAAGTATCACAGATAGGACTTACAAATGAAGCTGTGAAGCATAAATCAATAGTATTAACCAGTGCTGTTCTGTGATGCGGTTTTGTTGAATTAGATATGCAACCAACACACTCGATGTCTCAACTTTGTATGTTTTATTGATTTTGAAAGATACAGAAGTATTGATTGTATTATCATGCTGTGATTGTTCCAGATAGAACTGCCTCATTCCAACAGTGCAGTTCAGTTGCGTGTGCACTTCAATTAGCTGTTATAATTATTCTTGGACAGCTCAAGCTATGAGCTGAGTTGCGGAAGTGCTATATACCCAGAAGATGACTGAAAGGTTACTGAGACAGCCCAGAATGCTATTTCTGTGCAGAAACTAACATTCCCCATAGATTCCAACTCCCTTCTTTCCAAACACATCCAGAAAAAGGACTTCAGCGCACATTTGCTACTCATTAGAAGCTACGGATATTTCTCTTTCAATCACTTTGACATTGCCTACACTAATGTCCATGGAGAGTATCTTCCTCTCCTGGCTTTTTATTCACTTGATTTAGAGCAAGATTTTGACCACATTTCCATTGGCGATGAGGTAGAGTCTTATTTCTTCATAGCTTTGATGCAGTCTTGCCAGAAATAATTTTTCTGAGTGCCTTGGTATTGTCTCCTTCTGGTGCTGAAGGCCACCTGTTATGATCTGGGAGAAGTGATATCAAAAACCAAAAACAATTAGTTCAACTGCAAAACAAGCCCTGTGTTCTTACATCCTCCCTCACCCATCACCACCCTTCCCAAGTTGCGTCACTGAAAGACACTATCCCATCAATCCATTTTTACCTGGTATTTCCCAACTGCAGGAATATAAGCTTTGACCTGCATCCACCTTCACAGTTTCCCCAGTTATAAAGGACGCAGCAGGAGACAGCAAGAAACAGACTATAGGGGAGACCTAACAATGAAGAAAAATGCAATTTACTCATTCAAACTCCTGAGGCATATTGATTTCGTGCAGATGCATGGAGACATGGATCATCAACAACTTTAAGTTCCCAACCACAGCCATGGCTGCCACTTAAGTAATGTAGCTTAATACAACAAATCTTTTAAGCTGAGCAGCAAACCGTAACTTTCTATTCCGCATACCAAGACCAGAAAAAGATGTAAAGAGGCTTTATTGTCAAAGGAAAGAGTAGTGTTCTTACTGATCAGACATTTGACTAGAAGATGGCTTAATCCCTTACGCTTTTACTTTCTGACATTACCATTTAATACTTCCAATTCTTTTCTCATTTAGTCAGCTTCCTTTGTAACTAAGTTGAGAACTTCTTTTAGCAGAAACAAGTGCTTATATTTTTAAATTCCCAGGGTATCTTTGGAGAAGAGGGTGGTTCTTTTTTGGTCTTCAAGCAATTTTTTGCACACTATTGTAATTTCCTCCACGTTGTCCATTTTCTAAAATGCACTTCAATATTAACCATTTATTGTCGTCCATATACTATAATGGTGTTAGGGTAGAGGTACAGGAGTTAGAATCAGTGAACATGTTCTGAAATGCATTACCTCCTCAGGAACTGCTAGTCTCTTAGCAGGAATTTTTTTAATGAAGCCTTTAAACATCTCTTCACCAATACCTTTATAGTGTGCAACAGCAGTTTCTGAAAATGTTACTCCCTGTATTGAGGAAAAAAAAAAAGCACAGCAAAATTAAAGTACTGCTGCATAAGTTGGATTCTGAAAACTTTATTTCCTGAGTCGCAGCTCAACATCTCCAAACACCAGATATAAAATCTCAGACCAAAAGAATTTTTTTTAATTACAAATATTAAGATTTGCTTTCACTGAAGGAAAGCAAAATAACCCAATAGAATGGCCAAAGGTTTCTTCTCTTACAGACCACTAGACTGACTGTGCTATCTGTATCATGGTACCCTCCAGCATCCCAGCCAGATCCTGGGCCCTGTGTGTTAGGTTCTGTACAGAAAGAGACCTGTCCCTATTCTGAGGACTTTCCACTCTAGAGGAAGAAAGCCATAGCAGATAGAAGGGATGGGGGAGGGAAGATGAAAGCAACAGCTACTGGAACACAGTCACATCACCAGCTGTGTAATAATCTTCATGTTACAAGGCTGCTGGGCTTTCAAAGAGAAGCAATATTCTGAATTCCAACTGAAATTTTCCAGGTCATTAATCCATACTGTGACTACTAAGGTGATAGAAGACTTAGAGAAACATGGACTAGGGCTGAAAAATAGCGGTTAAATAGTTAACTAGAGATATAAGCGACTAGTTGCGTGACCACTCGACTACTCGCTTCCCCCCTCCGCTGTATCAAAGGCTGTGGGGGGACCAGGAGCTGGTGCTGAGTAGGAGCCCAGCAGGCTCTTACTACATTAAAGTGCAGAGCCGCAACAGGAGCGCCCCTCCCCCCATATCGACTTGTCGATAGAAATTCCATCAACTATTCAATTAGTCAATTAACCAACAGCTAACATACCTAAATGTTTAACCAGTTAACTGTGATCCCTCTGGAGGGGGCTGCCCAGGCCTGGGGCGCAGGACTTGGGCTGGGAGTCCACCTGTCCTTGCCCAGTGCGTGGGGCTGCCAGTGTGGTTGGGACCAGAACTACTGCTATGCATGGCCAGGCCAGGATTCCCCCTGCTCCTGCCTGGGGCTGCCAGCGGGGCTGCTGCGGCCCCAACCCAGTTAACTGGATAACTGTCTACATCCCTAATTTGGACCAGAGATTTTGGAGATTTTGGGGAATAGTGTTTAAATACAAGCAAGTAATTTCCTTTAGGAACACACTGTGCTTCTCTTGTACATGTTTCCTGGGTGCCCCTGCCCAGATCCTGCAGTGAAAGGTTTTTAGGGCTCGAATTACCACAAAAGTGGTGTGCCCATACAGGAACATTTGCATTTCTCCTGACTACAATGTGGATTTCCATAATTTACACAGTAATTTACACAGTAATCAAACCATTAAAGCTAGTCAGTACATAACTGTCCTATAACGTTAATACATAATTTGATACATCTGACAATTATAGCAATGTGTACTGGCTACATGATGTATATAAACACAAATACTGTGTGAATTAAAATATGTTTACTTATCCGAGATGCTGCTTGGCATATACAATAATGTGTAATTGATATGATTAAATGGATCATTATTAAGTCTTTTTAAACAAGCCAGACATACACACTATGTCTCATTACATCCAAACTACGTTAATTTATTTCCCCAAGATTTAATAAGCCTAAAAAACTAGGCAAAAATTTCAACATTTAACAGTTGCTCAATACGTCTCCTGGCAAATATGATAAATTAAGCTTCCCAGGAGCCAGAAGGCAGCTTTTACCACCTGAATAGAACTGCACTATGTACATCCAATGAAACAGCCCATCCCCAAAACAACAATACAGCTGGTCTCTGAAGAGGAAGCTGAACTTGATTCATGCCATCTCATACAGGCAAAAGGAGGATCTCCTTACAGGCCTGTTTCAGAATCCATGTTGCATTCTCCTTACAGAGGTCAGAATGGGCAATGGGAAAGAAAGTACTAGAGAAAATTCTGCTCTTCCCTCATCTCTCACCAAAAATAAATCAAATCTGCAGAAATAGACTGAGGTTTAGGGTGAAACCTACAACATCTAGAACTGACACAATATCAACATCCAAAACTAGGACTGACATGTCTCTTAATTCACAGTACACATTAGCAATAGACAATTGTTCCATAACGTTATGTAAACCAATTATTCAATATATAATTAGTTCCTCAATGATCTAGTAAGCATGTTTTAACTAGCCTGTACATTGGATTTCTGTCTACATGTGTTTCATTGATACAAATAATGAACATCTAACAGATTCTTCTATAGTGACTTCTTCTGCACTCTCCAAACATCCATTCCCACTCCCCAAAAATAACCCCATTTTACATACGGGGAAATTATGGCAACAGAGATTAAGAGCCTGTTGGACATTTTACAGAGATTCTGTGTTAGAGCTGAGGACAGAACCTATTTCTCAACTCTCAGTCCCTAAACCAGAATGAGCAAAAATTTTTGATGGGGGGGGGGGCACATTTTGGAAAGTGGTTGAGGGCCGCACTCTTCCATGACATTAATGGAGGAGGTGTGGGGTCTGGGGTGGAGGTTCAATGCAGACGGGAGCTTAGGTAAGGGATTCGGGTGCAGGAGGGAATGTAAGATCTGGAAGGGAATTTTGGTGAAGGAGGTAGTTTTGGCATGGGATTGGGGTGCAGGGTCTGGGAGGGGGTATGGCCTGAGGAGGGGAGCAGAGGGCTTGGGTTATTTGGGGTAGCAGGGTAGGAGAGGAGGGATGGAGGGGCTGGGGTGCCAGAGACAGACTCTGGCTGGGAGACTTACCAGTGAGACTCTCAGCCAGCAACCCAGCACATTTCTCAGGCAGGAGCCTACCCCACCCCTGCACAGGCTGCAGAGCCATGTGCTCTGTGAATAGAAGCCTGAGGGGAAGGGGGAGTGGTGCTTCCGGGGCTGCCTGTTCTTCAAACAGGCAACTCCTATTGGCCAGAAACAGGCCAATGGGATTGTGCTGGGGGTGGAAGCAGCCATGAAGTACCACTCTTCCTTCTCCCTGATAAGTTTGTGGAACACAAAGGGACCAGAAACCACTTTTCTGAGTGGCATGCAGTGGCAGGGCAAATGGGATTCTGCCTGAGGCTCTCTGCTGCGTCCACAGGCCAGATCCCGTTGCTTAGCAGGTCAGATCCTGCCTGCAGAGGGTGTTTTGCCCAGGCCTGCCCTACTCCATCGCCACATAACTTCCCTTCTATACAGTACACCTCCTGAATCACACATTCACATACTCACCACCAAAATACCGAGCATTGTGTACAATTTCATAATGTGCTTTGACAGACGTTTTCTTCTCTCCCAACACCCTTCAAGTGTCTTTCCACCAAGGAAGAAAAGTAGAGGAAGTGCTAATATAAACACGTAAGTGGAAATGATTTTACTGACCCCACGTTCCTGTCAGTGCAGGGACCCAGTGGGCTCTGAACACTTTTAAGTGGTGCAGCTAAACGAAGCTGACAATTTCAAAGCAGACACAGGGATTTAGCCATACAATGCCAATGAATTCTGCATTTTTACCCTTCACCCTGTTGGCTGAGAGAAATTTGAAACCTGGGAATATACTGTTGATAAATCTGATTAAATTGTATGCTGTTACTTACAGGGGCAACAGAGTTGATTCTCACTCCACTGTGGGCCCACTCTATGGCTAAACTCTTGGTTAGGTTATCTACTCCAGCTCTTGCTGCTCCAGTATGTCTATCACAGAGAAAGAAAGAAAGAAAGAAAGAAAGAATCAATTTCAACAAAAAACACTGCACTCTCTCACCACCCCATTGAAAAAATGTACATAAACTACAAACTTTATAGCTGGGCCAGTCAGAAAGTTGCATCTTCCAGCTTACTGAGCTGACTCCAAGAAGCTTGTTCTCCTAAAGATCAGCAAAGAGTCAAGAGGCAGCTTTGCTGAAAGCCTACAGGTTGTAAGATGGATGTGAGAGATAATATGAAAGAACCCCAGTGCAGAAAACAATTACACAATTGGACATGTAAATCAAGTGCAACTGAAACTCAGAAGTTAATTTGCCAATAATCACATGAATATATAGAAGCACAAAACATGATTAAAAGCACTAGACAGTGCCCCTTCCAGTGACCTGATGAAACCTCTTTCCATCTTGTTGTTACAGTAAATTAGATAGGGTTCAGGCTCTCCAGTTCTGGGTTTACTTCCCAGATGTGGTATTGGTTTCAGTGAGCACTCACACATTGCTCATGCCAGAGCAGAAGACTCCAAACTAATGTGCTAGCACCACCTTGTGTATTTCTAAGTTATCTTTACACTGAGTAGAACCAGCCAGCTTCCAGCTCTTAGCAAATGAAAATGAAAGTCCAGTAAGGGTTTTATGGTGGTTTGTCTATGACAAGAAGCTGCCTTTGCTGGAGTTTGCTGCAGAGACTTGGCACCTGTTGCTGGCAAAGAGAAGAAAAACTGCCAAAAGTAGATACACACGAACTGCTCAACAGAAAGGCAAGACACTGATTACACAAAGGAGTCAGCCTGAACCCATCAACCTTATTCTGTATTAGAGGCAGTAAAATGTCTGGTGATGGTCCTGTTTACTCCTTTACAGAAAATAAAACCTTGATGCTGTACATGAGAAAGTCACTCCAAAATATATCCACAGGACGAGGACTGGGAGAGGCGGAGTGAGCCCATAGGACCTTCAAGACTAAGGAGAATACGCTAGGAATACACTAGGAGCACTCTGTGATGGGGTGTACCAAACCTGCACTGAGCCACTGGGACCGAACCAATCACTGTGGGACCGGGAGGCCATGCCCCCTTACCACTGCACATGTTCCAGGTGGAAAAGAGAGAGAAAAGGATGTAGCCCATCTTTGTCTGGGCTGGCTTAGCAGGAGGAAGGATATGTGCTGCAGGCTCCTGCAGACACACCAGTGGGAACTGTGGACTCAGGCTACGCTGTGGATGATCAGCCAACATAAAGACTGATTGGGATGTCAAGCAAGCTTCTGCCAGCTGAGGAGGTACCCAACATGAGCCTTGCAGTAAGAAGTGACCCAGGGAATACATCAGAAGCTGATACCTGAAACTTGAACTGAGAATTTCCCAACTTCATAGGGCCCTGGATTGAACCTGGTGGAGTGAGGTGGGCCCTGGTTTCCCTCCTCTCCCTCCTTGCACTTGCCACTAGGCATGGCTAAAATCATAAACTAACTGACTGCTTGGCCTTGTTTATTCTGCCCTGCCCAGAGGGTCAGAGACCCTTCACAGTTATTGCCTGCCCCAGTCAGGAGACTTAGGGGCCTAAACTAATTGCTTTGCTCTGTCCTGCCTAGGAGCTGCAGAGTGAGAGTTTACTCTGCCCTGACAAGAAGATTAAAGCTCCCAATTCCCAGGAAGCTTGGGAGGCACGGACTGTTTGCTGGGCCGTCTGAATCCCTCTTACTGAGACTGCCTAATCCAGCAGGGAGCCCTGATGATTGTGTGATGGGGCGTATGAACCCCACACTGGGCCTATGGGGATGGCCATACTAGACACACAGGGACCCGTGATACACTCCTTCCCAGCCAAACCCCCATGATCCAACATCATTTCACAACTAGAGGACCCCTAAACAAGCAATTCCACAGCACTAGACAGGAGCACACTGCAGAGTAAGAGCAGGAGCACTGCAGAAGTTGCATACACAGAGCTCACACATCACAACTGTAAACAGAAGCTGCACTTACAGGTTATGTCTACATTGTGCTGCAGTGCAAACTATGAGGTATGAACTGCAGAGTGCACCAAACTGTTGCACACTAAGGGCCCCAAGTAGAAGCTGTTGGCCTGAACTAACAGGCACAGCAGAACACCATTAATTCAATTTAATTGGAATCTGGGCCAGATCAGAGATCGACAAAAATTCAGATGACAATGGGAAAGTGTGAGGCTGCAATGCCATCTAGCGGCCATAAGACAGATGGCCTACTTCTGGACAGGCATATTGGTTCTTGTTAATACGGAAACCAGGATAAATCAATGGTTGGATTAACAAGGTTCTACTGTACCTAGTCACAGCAATGCAGTCCTCTAGTGAACAAAACTACCAATTCATACCAACAGCATCCACACAGGGCAGTTTGCATGGAACACTTAGTGGGCCCACAATTCACACTCCTGCAGCCTATATTGTGGCACAGTGCAAACAAACCCAATTTCACATGTTCCAGCTGGTGTGGTGCTCAGATTCAATATACTGCTGCAGCTACCTACAAACCCAGGATAGATCCCTGTACATATAGCAAATACATACAGAAAGACATGTGGAAACAGTGTGTCAAGGCACAGCAATAACCACTCTTCCAAGCCCTGTTGCTGTCCAGTGCATAAATATTTTCTGTAAAAATATCCCCTCTTCAAAAAGGAGGCCCGGCTGGACTTGCTCAGCTGAAAGTGGTTAATATTTGTAGGTCAAGGATAGGGAATGTAAATAATCTTACGACATGCCAGGAAACCCTTTCCACATGTCCGCTATAATGTTGACAATGGCTCCTCCATGCTCCCGCATCCAAGCATTGTACACTGTATGAGGGGAGGAAAATAACCTACTCAACATCTTCATCTTTTAAAATGATTTTTCCTAATGATTAGCACATGCAGCTGGGAGCCAAGACTTCTGGGTCTAGTCCCAGCTCTGGCACAGACTTCCTGTTGGCCTTGGCACAAATCACCTTGCCTACCTAAACCACAGTCCCCACTTTCTGAAAATGAGAATAATAGGTATGCTATGTAAAGCAATTCATTAGTGTTTGCAAAGAGCTTTGAGAACTTCTGATGGAAGGACCAGGATCTTGATTCCTACTAAACTACTCTGCATACATAACGAATAACTTGCACTTTTCTATCCAAGGATCACAGTGCACAAAATGTAAATTTAGCCTCACATCCCTGCTGTGAAATAACTATTACATCTATTTTACAAAAAGGGAAAGCAAGATTAGAGAAGTTAAGTGGCCTGCCTAAGTCTACACAGATCTATGACAAAACCAGAAATTAACTCTCTCCGAGCATGTCTACATAACAGGGCTGAAGCTGAAATAAGCTATGCAACTAGAGCCACGTCAATTGCGTAGCTTAAGTCAAAATAGCTTATTTCAGCTTTTGGCACTATCTGCACAGCAGGAAGTCCAAGGAAGAACACTTTTTCTCCAAATTCCCTTATTCCTCATACAATAAGGATTACAGGAGTTGGAGTAAAAAGTCCATCAGCTCAATGTTATTTTGACATTATGTCAAAATAACTGCTTGTAGTATAGATGCAGACTATGTTATTTCGGAATAACGCTGCTGTGTAGACGTCCCCTCAGATATGGCTTTAGCTACAAGACCACCCTTCCACTCTTTTCATAAGACATTTTATATATATCTCCATCTATATGCAGAGAAAGGTGTAGGGGGACAACAGGCGGCCATTTAAAGTTATTGGCCTCCTAGTATTTCTTGCCACATCTGGTCCTCACCTGCCTTGCAGCAGTAAAAGGTCCCAGTAAGATTAGTTTCAATGACAGCATTCCAGCCCTTTGAACTGATGGCTTCAGCAGGACTAGGGAACTGGCCTCCTTCATTGTTCACCAGGAAATCGATCCTGCCATGCAAATCCAATGTGGATTTCACCAATGCTTCCACCTAATAAAAGCAATTTAAAAAAATGTGTAGGTTAATTGGGTAGCCTGTCTATCCTATTTCAGTAGCATGCACACCCCATCTACAAAAAGAACGTGCCAATGCATTAACCAGCCTTCCACAAGTTCATTCAGGCAAGTCTATACTCAGGCTGAGAGCTCAGTTTGACAGCTTCAGACAATGAAGACTAGCCTGAGTCATTATCTGGATGGGAGCTGTCCTAAGAATAATCCTGGTGCTGGACAGGTCAGTACTGAAATACAGGGGAAACTGTGCAGATGGAGGTTATGGGTTGTTTTAAATAAAATGTAAAAGTCAGACATGTAAACTCAAAGTAATTAAAAAATCCTATGACACTTCTTCCCCTGAGATTCCTTGGTCATTGTGAACCAAAGCTGCCCAGGGCTGGCCATGGGCAGGGGCTGCTGCCTGAGCCCCTGCCTGCAGCCAGCCCTAGACACCATGATCAGGGATTGCCTGGCAGCAACAACCCCAGCTTTGCAGCAGCACCCACTGTCCTACCCTGCTGCCTCTGATAAAGGCAGTGCGGGAGGGAAGGCAGGTGGTACCCAGAGACATTGCTTGGGGAACTGGCTTTTAAGCCAGCTTCCCCCAGCCCCAGCCCCTGTTCCCCGCTTGCAGCCTCTCAGAGACAGCAAGGGGAGGGTGCCGCAGAGAGCACGGAGCGAGTGGGGACTGCTTGAGTCCCTATTCGCCCCATGCTGCCTGCGGCACTTCTGCTTCTGAAATATACAAGAGCCCCACAGGGCTCTTATACATTTCAAAAGCAGACACGCCTGCAGTGGGAAGCCGCATGAGTGGGGACTAAAGCAGTCCCTGCTCGCACTGTTTCCTGTTGTGCCTCTGCCTCCCCTGCCCCCAACAGAGACAGTGCTGGGGGGAACTGGCAAAGCCAGTCTCCCCCACCAGCTCTTACTTCCCCACCTTGCTGCCTCTCTTTGACAGAGGGAGCAAGGGTGGGGGGAGAAGTGACTAGTTGAGTCAACTATCCGATAAGCATTTGCTTATCAGACTGACTAGTCACATCCCTAGAGAGATCCAGTTGTCCTCGGCTTCACAATCATTCAAAAATTGGGAAGAATCTGCTTAATTATCATCACAGTAGATGCTGAGTGGAGTGTGCACGTGGCAGTTTCAAAGAAAGGTGGTGCAGAATAAGGGTAGGGTTGGAAACTATGGACAGAAAACTTGCATAAGATGAGAGCTGCACTTTTTTATTTTGCACAATATTTGTGAGTGTAAGAGAGAGAGCCTGCATGATGGGTGTGAGGCTGACGTGCAGAAACTTGCTCGCCAGGCATCCGTTAGAAAATAGAAGCCACCAGGGCAATACCATCAAGGATGCCTACTTCTCTTAAATTGAGTTTGCATTTGTGCCTTGTAGGACGTGGCAGGTTGGACATTTTGTTCCTAGTTTGTTCTCCTATCCCCAGAAGTGAACATCCAAATTAAAAAAAAAAAAAAAGAAAAGCGCAATTTTTCACATTAGGTGTACCTAGAAGCACTTCAGTGGTGCAGTTGCATTGATGTAGCTGCACCACTGTAGCATGTCTGGTGAAGATACTTTATGCTGACAGGAGTGTTCTCTCTTGTCTACATAATTACTCCCCCTTTGAAAAAGGCTGAAGCTATGTTGGCAGGAGAGTATCTCCCACTGACATAGCGCCAGTGTGAACAGCATTTAGGTCAGTGGCGGATTTAGAGTTAGTGGGGCCCTATGTTCAGCTCCATTTTTGGGGGCCCCCGGAGACCCAGCCAAGAAAAAGAACATTCACTTTTCCTGCCCTGTTTGATGTAATTGTGGATTGTTCTCCTTATCCACATCAAAATCCATTTTTGGATATTGCTCAGCTTTTGGCTTCAGTGATATCCTGCAGCAAGGAGTTCCACAGGTTAATTACATATGGCATAGAGAACAAGCATCACAGCTCAACTCTGCTTGTGGGCAGCAGCTACTCACTAGGTGCAGGGCAACATTACAGAGGCTGGAGGACTCAAGAGGAGGGGGCAGTGCAGGTACACAGCCAGCTTCCAGAGAGAAACAGCTCTTTCCATTTCAAAGTATGGCTTTTTCACATGCAGGTTGTTCAGCACGTGAGCTTGCCATCCCCCGGCCACCCTCCTCCCCTGCAGTGGGCAGCCATGGCTGGCCGCCACCCTCCCTTCCCCAGCTCCTCGGAAGCCTTCCAGCCCATGGTCGTGCGACTCACCACCTCCTCCCGTCCCTTCTGAGGCTGTAGCCTGCAGATGAGCCTCTCCAGAGGGACTGGTGCTGAACTGCCCAGCCCTGGGGGCCCCCATGTTGTTGGGAAGCCCCATGCCAGGGCACTATATGTTTCATTGTAAATCTGCCTCTGATTTAGGCTGCTGTAACTTGCGTTGCTCAGGGGAGCGAGGTCTTCTTCAGACCTCCCAAAAACGTAAGTTACATCAACTTCAGCAGTAGTGTACACTTGCCATTAGTCTAAGATTCTGTTTTATTCCCTCAGCAGACATGCTGGAAATGCAGAGAGAAAAAAGGATCTGGTTTTGCACTGATTGCTTGAAGCCCTGTGTGTTCCCAGTCCCCTCTACAGAAGCCAGTGAAAATCATTGAGAGCTACACGGCTTTGCTAACATTTCTTTTCCTAGGTGAATGTTTTTAAATAAGCTCTCCCCTGTGGGACTTTTGGGGATTTTACCAAAACAGATCACTCTAGTGTCTGCTGTCTCACCATTTTGTCAGAAAAATAAAATATATAAATAAGAGCTGTGTTTGCCATGTGCCAGCCTTTGCTGTTTATCTCCAGTCCAGCTCTGCAGCTTCCATACTTTCAGACTACAGCTGTCCTTTAAATAATTTACCAAATGAAAGCATTTTTATATCACCGGAGGATTTCTTCTGGTTACAATAACCACAGCCAATGCAGTAAGAGAAAGATTTATTAGCAGAACCAATTACAGCTCATAAGGGTGAAAATAAGGAAAGAGTTCTGTATTGATCCTGAATTTGAAATAGATTTTCAAAAATAGCCCAGCTAATTGAAACTTCCTCTTTGGAAGCAAAAGTCAAGATACAAAGTGAATTATCCATCTTCTAAGGCAGGGAGCAGGCCAGAAATGGCAGTGGGAGAGGACTGCTCCAGGGTAACCAGTTACCTCTTCACATCCCTAGTCATTAGAACCCAATTTGCTATTTCAGATGAAACAGCCCTTGATCCATGAAAATAGAACAGGGACACCCCAAGTGTTCTTTACACAAACATATTCCAGAATTCCTTTTCCCAGAAGTCTTAACACTATGGTGTCTAACACGTTAGCCACTAGCCAGAGGTGGCTATTTGGCTGGCTGGCAGATGCTAGTTAGCCAGGGACTTAAAATAGATTTGCTATGTCTTTACAAAACATAGTATGTAAAACAACTAGAAACAAGACAATGAAGCAGCAGCATTAATAAAAAAAAAAAAAAAAAAGGAACTTGACGGGTGACAGTTTATGAAAGCTCTTCATCAGCAAGGATTATTTCCTGCATACTTGGTGAAGACATCTGAGCTGGAAAGCAAGAAGGCTCCCAAGTACACAGATTAAAAGAAACATCAAAACGTGCATTCATTAAGTTATTCCCTGACGTCTATCATAACCTGGCTCCTGCAGCAAATGACTTGCAGGCTGAAGAGAGCTCTGGCAGCCCAAATACAAGTGGTACATGTAGAGAGATGCATCTTCAAAAGCTTTGCATTATGCAGTTGCCAACTAGGACAGAGAAGACAGAGTGAATGCTGTGTGCTCTTTGGAGATTTAGAACAGCAAAATAAGAGATCTTTTGGCAATTCTGAAAGCAGTTTTATTCTTCTTAGGGCTCCTCTACTTAAGAATCTCCACTCCAGTTTCTCTAAACAGGATTTACATCTGAGATAAAATTCTTGTGTGTCCTTGTGGAATATGTAGGATATTTTCTGATATTGTTTATACCTATATTATAAACTGCAAGGAATCTGATCAGATATGCGTTGTGAGGTGCCTGCAAAAATGTTATAAAAGTTGCCAAGTATGATAATCTTGTTTGTTTAAATCACCTTTGTATTCTGAATTACAGATATGCATATTTATATTTCCAAACTTGTGCTGTTTGTGTGCCACACCCAGCACTGCCTAAACTACTTGACAGCCCATCAAGGTTCATCAGTTGTACAATATACCCATTGAAAAAAAGCCAGGGACTATACCTGACATGTCAGCAAGCCATGCAGGCATATGCCTATAGTCAAAGAACTCTACATCTCTTCCATGTGCGCTGAAGCTTGGGTTGGGACACAGGAAATATAAAAGCTATATGAATATGAAAGACAACTACAGTAAAACTCCAATAATCCGGCATCCAATAGTCCGGCACTCCTGATAGTCCAGCATCAAAATGGCAAAAGCCTAGTGAGTGAGCTTTGGCAAAAAATGAGTCACAAGGTAACAGTGGAAGCAGCTGAACTGAGCGAAAAGGGTAAAAAAGGGTTAAAAAAACCTAAAACATTACAGTATATTGTATACAGTATGTACAATAAAAAGGGTTAAGAACACTTTATATACAGTATATACATAACCATCTTATAGTACCTCCTGATACTCTGGCATTTTTGATAATCCAGCACTACCTAGGTCCCAAAGGTTCCGGATTATCGGAAGTCTACTGTACATCATTTCCATTTATTCTTCACTCCTGCTTCTTACCTCTGGAGTAACTTTTCTACAAACCAAAGTTCTGAATAAAGGAGCGAATGACCTATTCAAGCTGTGGATATGTTCCAGAACAACTTTTGAGCCACCAAACTCACCAATATTTCTAAGAATGGATTTTCTCTCTCTGTATGTATCAGAGGGCTTCATCATTTAACAACTCTCTCCTTGTTTTTCTTTACAATAAACCTTTAGTTTTAGAGATGAAAGGATAGGCAGGCAGTGTGGTATTTTGGGTAAGACCTAAATTGAATACTGACCTGGCAATGTGGCTGCTCCTTCAAGGTCAGAAAAGCATTTTGTATAGTATGCAGAAGTTTTTAAAAAAAATGATCATTGTACTAGACCAGTGGCGTCCAACACGCTAGTCACTAGCCACATGTGGCTATTTGGCTAGTTGAGTGTAGCTAGTTAGCTATAGCAGTAGCCACTATAGCTTCAGAACTGATTGGACATTTGAGCGGGTGGCTGCCACGGCCCGGTGGTTGGAGGACCAGTGGGCTACAATTTTGGCACCCTTTCACATGGACCCGGCCCAGCTAGCCTACCGTGGCCTGTCCAGGAAGGACACCCTTCATTACCACCGGGTCAAGGAGGCTATCCTGGACCAGCTAGGCGTCACCCGAGACCCACCGACAGAAGTTCTGGGAAGTTCGTTACTGCAACAGAGCACAGCCCTGGGCCATGGCGCAGATAATCAGGGAGGCGGGGAGCCGCTGGCTAGACCCAGAGGCAAAGACTGGCCTGCAAGTAGCAGAGCTGGTGTACCTGGAGCAGTTCACCCATGTCCTCCTGCCGGAGGGGCAACGGTGGGTCCGACGACACCGCACAGGCTCCCTTGACGAGGCTGTCGGACTCATGGAAGACTTCCTGGCCACCGAGGGGATCGACGAACCAGGACGGCCGTGGATGGAGCCCTCCCGTCCTGCACAGCCAGGCCCAGGGACACGGAGGGACAAGAAGCTCCCTGGCCGGGACGCAGCCCCATCCCGGGAGGACAGGAAAAGCAGAGACTAGCCCCAGTGTGGGCCCAACCTGCTTGTAAGGAACCCACCAGCCGGGGGGTAAAACAGAAAAGGAGGCCCCGTAGACACCGGGGACCACGCCCAAGAAAAACCTCTGCTTTAAGTGCGGGCAGGAGGGACACTTCTGGCGAGACTGCCCATATATGGATTGTTCCTATGGGCAGGTGCTGATGGTGAGCCGTTGGGGGCCCAAGGAGAGTCAAAGGCTGACGGTCCGAGTACACATCGGCGCAGCCAGCGTAGACGCCATGGTTGACACAGGGAGCAGCCACACCCTCATCCGTGCTGACCTTGTGGACCCCGAGAGGACCCCCAGTATGGATGCAATGTGTCCATGGGGATGTCTGGGAGTATCCCAGGGCATGGGTAGCCCTAACCAATGCAATTGGGGAGACCCGGTGCCAGGTGGCCCTGGTCCCTCGGCTGACCTATCCCGCGATACTCAGCCAGGATTGGAGGGGGTTTCAACGCCTGTGGGAGGCGTGGCAGAACCCCGGGGGGACCAGCCAGACGAGAATCAGATTACCTGATTCCCACTCCTCGGCAGCTGAGCAGGCTTTATATCATCCCAAATCTTCAATCACATCTGAATTCCAAAGAAGTTGGCAATCCAGGATTCAGCCAATTAGTTAATCAAGTCTGTGCCTATCACTTTCACTCATTATTGACAAGCATGAAGACCTGAAGCCACGAGAAGCATTTAGGATTTTCAGTAAATTTTTGGTCACACGGAAGACCATGCAAATTACAAACATTTTCCTGCTTAAGAATGGAAGTGAATCTCTTGTCACAGCTGCACAGTACTCCAAGCTCTGTATCAGTGGATCTCCAGCCAGCAAAGAAAGATGAAATCGCTTTGGCCTATATAGGAACAGCATTGGGGTGCTGTCCAGACAGACTGCTGCAGAGCAAGAGGACGCATTCCAATCCCCAGTCCAGGGCTGGGTACAGTAGCGCAGTGGTTCCCAACCTTTTTATACCATGGACCAGCAAACCCATTCACAAACGTTTGGTGGACCGGTAACATTTTATTTGAATATTTGCACATTCATTATGGTAATTAATGTTAAAAGGTCACATGTTCTTTTACATCACATCTATACACAAACAATACATGTCATAAGGGATCAGAGTTTGCAGATATCTACAACACTAAAAAAATTCACAGAAAGAATTCCCCTCTGGCTGCTGGGTGAGGCAGCCCCTCCCTCAGGGGTGACTAGTTCCTGAAGACGGAGGGGCGCAAAGAGGAGCACCCACAGCGGCAGGGGTCATGGAAGGCATTCTATTTAGCAAATAAAATGTCAGGGACAGAGGAGCTGGTGACCTCAACTGCGATCACCAGTCACCTCTGCCCTTCCCCCTTTCTGTCCCATGGGATGGGGGAGCTGCCATTGTAACTTACCCGTCTCCTTTTGTACAATCCCTGCCCCAGCCAAGCTGTTCTTGCTCCCAGACTCCCCTCCCTGCATCCCCCGAGTTTCCCTTCATTGCACCCCTGTTCCCATCAGTCCCCCCTGAATCCCTGCCAACCTCCCTTCAGCACCTCCTGCCCCTGCCTCACACATCCCTTTTCCCCCTCATCCTCCTTATCTGCTCCCACCATTCTTCAGCCGCCTCCTGACTCCACCCCAGGGCTGGCTCCCTCCTGCCCCACACAAGCTGGGAGCTGGCGGCAGCTTCCCTGGGCCTCGGGCAGGGATCACAGCCAGCTCTGCTGGGTGCTGTCCAGGGCCAAACCCACCCCCTGCAGGCATCACTCCCAGAGGGGTAAATGGATGGCCAGGGTTGGGGAGCTGCCCTGGAAGAGACTGCTGGGGAGCAGTGGGACTGGTCCTGCTGGAGATTCCCCCTCCCAGCTGCAGCCCAAGCTCTGGGGGCCCAGCAGCAGCTCCTGCCGGGACTCAGGGATCCGGCCCGGAGCCTGGCCTCAGAGTCACCATGAGCAGCCGCTGCAAGTTGCTTCCTGTTGCGGGGGCCAAGCCCAGCCTTGGCTCCCAGAGCCGCTGCCTGCTGCTGCTTGGTCCTAGTGAGCAACCCCGCCATGCTGTAGCCCCTGCTCCTGGGGGCCCTCCCGCTCCTGGGGGCCCTCCCGCTCCTGGGCTTGGGCAGTATCCCCTGGATCAAGGCAGCGTCTTGCAGAGAAGCCAATGCAGCGCTGGGTTCAGGAAGAGACAATCCCAGGGAGAAGAGAAAAGGGGTTTCTGGGAAGACTGGACCTTGCTCCAGAGACCTGCCGAGCCAATCATCAAGGCATGGGTGTGGCCTGGCAGTGTGCCATGGCCCAGCAGCTAGCAGTCCACGGCCTGGCAGTTGGAAACCACTGCACTAGCTCCATGCCTCTTTGATCCCACATTTACCACAACACTACACAACAGTAACCACAGGATCAGCAGAATGACCCTGTACAAGACTTCTGAAAGATCCATATATTGTTTGGTTTCTGAGGCTTGATATGTAGAGTCTACATTAGATTTGAACAAAGGCTTACCCAGCCTCAAAATGCCCTATTATACCCTGACCAGAGGGGAGTAGTCAATGTCCCATCAGATGTTGGCAAGTCAAGGAGAGCAGCTGATAAGAAATTCCAATGGGAATCTGGTAAGTGGGGCTAGATATTTAAGTACCGAGACAGGGTTAAAATAACAATAAAATCTAAAGTGTCAAAGATATTTTTACTGGGGCTATTGCAGATTTTATAGTCCTCCTCTCCTCATCCTCCTATGCACACTTTTCTAGAGCACTAAACCGAACCAACCCATTAAAGATCAGGCGGGCATACCCAATGCAGTCATTTCTTTCAGTGTCAGGCAAGCTCTAGGAAATGGTTCATTTCAGTCCTTTCTGTCTTTTCCTGCATCTACATTTTTGTAACCGTAGATCAAAAAATTCTACTATGCATTTACCTGATCTATGGCACTCTTTTTTCTGAATAAGATCATAGAAAAGCCTTTGAAGACTGAGACAACTTTAATAGCATCATCACATCTTTAACATTTAAGACACCCAAGAGTAATTAGTCTCAATTACCTCCTTTTCTATGCGGATATTGCACTGTATGGGGGTCACTTTGATTGGATCTGTGGAAGAGATGTTAACAGCCAACTCTTTTGCAGCATCTTGTAATCTGTCAAGTTTACGAGAGGCAATAACTACATTGCAACCTGTTAAAACAAAAGAACCTTTAGACAAAAACTGTTCAAATAGGATTATTGTATTAGAAATTTAGTACAGTCAGAGATTTTTGGTAAGACTGGTAGGTCGTTACCAGCTGCCTAGAAGTTGGAGATCAGCACTCAGTGTTACTTTCCTATTTCTGTGGATTCTCATTGATTTCCCTCATTTAAATTCTGGAAGTAAGGAGGCTCTACAATCAGAGTCAGGTTTATTTGCAGGGTCCCGAAGTGATTCAAAATTTGGCTGCAAGTTGCTTTGGCAGATGGGTCCAGAGGGAAGTTATTAGGGCAGCCTGTAAACTGGTGAAACAGCACAGCATCCCCATTTATTACAATTATATTATCTCAGAACTGTTAACAAATGTTCAAAGACATTTAAAATTCTTGGACCATACACAAGATAATTAACTGGAGTTCAGAAATACATGAATTTAATACTCAGAAGAGTTGCTGGGTGATGGCCCTGGAGACCAAACTTCTTTACATACACATTGTGGAGAGCAGCAGCGCAAAATTTCTATATGCTGATCCAGGGTTCTTTAACACTCAGGGCTGAAGAGAGTGGGAAGAGAAAGGAGCTCAGTCTTCATGGACCATTTATAAGCTCAATATGGGGGAGCTCAGTTAATGCCAACTAGAGTGTTATTTTGCTATGTGTGGCCACTTGTTCCCTAGGATATAGACTGCTACAAGCAAATTAAATTCACATACCTGCTAGTGTTCAGGGCCACTTTGCTTTATGAAGTACACATACTAGACCAAATTCATCCCTGGTAAAACTCCACTGATTTCTGTGGAGGTTCACCAGGGGTGAATTTGACTTCTCATTATTTCCTGACCTTAACGCCAAGGGAAATACACCAGCGGCATGCCCCTAGAAATGAGTATTTTGGTGAGCTGATGTTTTGTCTTATGCTACCAGAGTTAAATGTCCTGCCTGTTAACACAGGAATTCCTAGCATTTTCACAATAACCTGACCAAAAGAGTCAAGTTATTCATGAATTTTGAGGACAGCTTAGAACAGTAGAGTTCAAAGTCTTGTCCCACCAGAAGCGGCACTTCTGATAACCAATTAACAGGTAATGCTAATTCAACAAGTAGTATTAAAGAAAGATGAGCCAATGAACAAAAGCTAACAAAAATACTAATTCTTTGTATAACCGTATATATAAATATCACATGGTATTTTATGAAAACTAACATATTCAAAGTACTTAAATCCTTCTTTTTATACTGAACATAAGAACGGCCATACTGGGTTAGACCAAAGGTCCATCTAGCCCAGTAGCCTGTCTTCTGACAGTAGCCAATGCCAGGTGCCCCAGAGAGAACGAACAGAAAAGGTAAATATCAAGTCATCCATCCCTTATTGCCCATTTCCAGCTTCTGACAAACAAAGGCTAGGGACACCTTACTGCCTTAATAAAAACGTTTTTGTTTAATAATAAACCTAGTGCAAATAAATTGTTACCTGGGATGTGGGGGAGCACAGCTGTACATCTCTCATTGATAAACAGGGTGAACATATTAAAGAGCTTACTGTGCATAACTTATTTTATAAAAAATGGATTTATTAGGAAGTTTGGTTCCTTTTGAGGGCTCTGCTTTTGGATGCTGTCAAGATCCTATAACTGATCCCTCCCAGACCTGAGCTGGTTCAACATCTTTGTTACTCATCACTCACTAGCATGTACGGACTTCTGCCTGCCCCCCTCACCCTACTGCCTCTCTATCAGAGGCAGCAGGAGGGGAGAGAAGAGGGGAAATACAGAGGCAGCTGGGGGTGGAGAATGCGAATGCATGTAGTCGACAGGATTAACTGATATGACCAGGCTTATTGGTTAACCATGTAGTTATCTACACATTGACATTCCTTGTCACAAGAGGATCTCTGTGATCCAACCCATCACACAAGGTGTATTAGATTTCAGCCTGGACCTATACTGGGCTCATGTCCTGATTAAGAGCACATATGTTGCCAACTACATAGACCAGAAATCAACAACACTGGAAAAGTTGCTATACCAAGATTTCAGCTGATGAAAAGTATTAGAGGCTTCATTCTACAAATTCTTTACTATCAGGCAGTATGCTAACTACCAAGACTGTACGTACTGATATCTGTGAATATATTCACAATAATAGGGACTACACCCACTAATAAGCATTTCAAGGCCAAATCCTAGATCTCTAACGTACGTTCCATAATATCAGCTTTGAAATACTGTGGAAACGTTGCAAAAGGGCTTAACCATGGATTACTACAAACATATCAGGGACAAATAAAACGTTCCAAGCAGGGGTCCTCGACCTGTGCCAACAAAATGCTTATTGTAACATTAAGACACTTTGACATGACCATTTATTTACGAGGCATGCTTTTTCTCCGGGTTTAGAGCAGGGATGTCAACGTGTAGTCAATTACATGATTAACTGATAAACCTGGTCTTATGGGTTAGTCCTATCTACTACATGCACTCCCCGGGCTTGCTGCCTTGCATTCAGATACAGTCCGGGGGAGGGGGGACAGGAGCCAATATGCTCAGGGAGCTGGCTTTTAGGCTAGCTCCCCATGTGTGCCAGCTGCTGTGGAGCCACCGGCCCCCGCCTTGATGCCTCCCACAGAGGCAGTGTGGGGGGAGGCAGAAGCCAGCACGCATGGGGAGCTGACTCCATGCTCCCACCTACCTTCCCTCACCCCATGCTGTCACCTCCTACAAAGCCACGGGGTGGCTTTCAAATCATCTCCCTGTGCATATACACTCCCTGGAGCTGCCTGTCCCCCGTGCTGCTGACTTTTTAAAGCGATGGACTGGGGAGAGGGGGCGCAGAATCAAGAAGTGCTTGTGCCAGTTACAAAGTAAGAGATTGTTAAATTGGTGCAACTTTATTCAAACACATCCAAATGTCAGGACAAATGTGTTTGTCTTCTGCTGCATCACCTAAGGCTCAGAGCTTATTATAGGATAATCCAGGTGAGTATTTTGAGGAGAGGCCTGGAAGGATAAGTGAAGCACAAGAGGTGATTAAGTACATCGCTAACCTCCCACTGGCACACTCCCAGTACCCAGTGGAAAGTCAGGTGATCTGGTTTCAATCCCTACTTCTGACACAAGTTTGCCATGGAATCTTAGGCAAGTTACTTAGTCATGTTCTGTGCCTCAGTTTCCCCCATCTTTGCATTATGAACCTAAATTAGAGGGTGATGAGACGCTGAAGATTTTCTTATAAAGCATCTCTGACAGAATGGGCCTGGGTGCCTTCTTTGCACACCCGCCCCAAAGGTCCCCACTCCTTTCTCCCCCAGGTCCATCTTGTGCACCAACTATTTAGCGTGACACTCTATCCCTTCTGCCCCACCTCCTCAGCTGAGTGCTTCCCCCCACATCTCCTTTCTGCTCCCCTTACTCCTCGTCCAACGGCTGCCCCCTCCCTCCCCACACCCCTCTCTCCCAACGGCTCCCTCG